ACTGACTGACCAACTGACTGACCTGATCAATGATCCCTTCACCAACAAACTTCACCTCCCACCACTGGTCGTACTTCCATTTGTTCCATCTGTAAAAATAAAACAYTTGTTTATCGTTAACGTTGGCTGGCGAAGCTTATCGATACTCACAATACTCCAGTTTCGAGTTATCTGTTACTCAGGGTTGGCCTCGGCTTTTCTCAGAATATTCATGTGTTCCAGGCCATTTGTGCATATTTTGACACTGATACGAGGCTAACCCTGAGTAAATGAGTCTGTAATCAAGGAACACAGCGGTAATTTGGAACTCGTTTATTGAAGACACAATGTCCAAGCATTAGAATATTTTTTGCCACACATTCAGAGGTTTCCCCAAGGAAGGTGGGGTGATATATATGCACATGATTGTTAAGTACAAACGTTTAAGCTAGACCAAGCGCCCTTGCGCCTCCAACTCGGCACCAGCCCTYCGCTCKTTTTAGTACCGTCTAATRRCASCCATCATTTTGCAACGCCTTAATTTACTATCATCACCTGTAATTAAGATGTTCTGGTCTCAATTCTTTATACAATTGTAGCAAGACACTCTTATCAGGATCAGACCCTCGTTCATGTAAAGGTATCCGTCTGTCCAAGGTTACAATAGGCATGTGATCAGGAGCCGAGTGTTCCGAGACGTGGAGCATCTCTTGTACGATGCGCCATCGTTGCCGACACAGTGGAAGAAGAAAGCGTAGCTGAGGCAGGAGATGGGAGAGCTGATAGCGTGAAACAGTGRGAGGGCATGAAGAACTGGATTCTCTTCTTGTACTTCTTGTTTCATTAGAGGACGTGGTGGTTTGTTGCTGCTTTGCTTTATAAGTTRCTTCTGCTGTTTCTTCTTTTTTTCTCGTCTCGGTTTGAAGAATTCTAGAAATAATTTCACTTCAGTCAAAAATAAAAAATTATATAATCCAGTCTGAACCAGGGACCTCGAACCCGGACCACAGTGGTTGAGAGGCGAGCGGCAAACCACTACACCACCCATGCGATCACCATAGGGTTAGGAATACGTGGTCGCTTAAGGGAGGTGGTCGGTTACGATAGTGGTCGCTTAGGAGAATGAAAGATAGTCAACTTTACCACCCTTGACTCACTTGTTTCTCAGTTCCCTGAGTCGCTTCAGTTCCTCTACTAATCTATTTTTCTTGGTGTCCTGTTCAGTGTGTTGTTCTACTAGTTTCTGTATTTTGCTGAGAGTTTCTTGTCTTTGCATCTTCAGCTCAGTGACAGCCGGGGATTCACTGTTCTGTKGTTGCTGGCTTCCCTTGATGTCTAGAGACCTCAGATTTTGTACCAACAATTGTTTTTCCTCAAGGAGAGAAGCCTAAAAATAATCAAGCGTATTAGTTTTGATTTGTGAAATTTTGTTCTTCGGATCTCCGTCCACACTTGGATGTGACGTCAAAGGAGCTCAATTTGGAGRACAAAACCAAAGAATTTCAATCTCCTGAGAATTGGRAACCTTTTGTAATGTCCTCCAAATTAAAATGCATTCTGACATGCTGTAAGGGGTCTATTGACTGAAGTTGGTCCATTAGGGAAATTTTAGATAAGGGCGTTTTTTTTACAGTTTTTTTCAGTAGTGGAAAGTATTATTCTGCAAGTTATTTAAGGATATTACTATTATATCAGTATGTACTYATATGGGGTTCTGTTACCTGTTTTTTCAGCACTTTTTGCTGCTCTCTTATCTGATCCTGCAAGTCCTGTGTCAGTTTTAACTTCTTGCTGGTCAGCTCATGCTGTATACGTAACTGTTCWGCATCTCTTTCGCTGATCATTTCTTCAAAATGTAACATTTCTTCTTTAGACGCTTTACATGATTGATGTTTAACAGCCAATTCCGTTGACACCCTTGAGGATTCAAAGGACCAATCACCAAACGAATCCAGAGGGTACTTAGCGGGTGATACCTTGATGTCCTTCAGCAAAGAAGGCCCACTTAGGAGATAGAGTAAAGAATCAAGGACCTTGGCGACTCGGCAAAGGGCTACAGATCTGAAGGCTAAATCCTCTGYGTTGTGGGATGCTARTCTGGGATACACCACACCGTCAAGTCCAGAGAACAACTTGGGTCTTACTAGTTCAGCCTTGAACCATCCCTGTCGAGAAAAACATAACATTACACATTTATAGAGCATGTGCATGTTAYGTCATAACTTCGACCTCATAASCTATTGACTCATAGCCCATTTGAGCTTGAAGACTAATAATTGCTCAATTGCTTACTATCAATCACGTGACTTTTTGGAGTTGACTGGGGGGCAAACAAGCGRTTGACTGAGGGGCAACTAGCGGATGCTAAGTCAAAACATGTCAAAATAAGTCCTCAAACTATTGTATTTGACTATTTTCACGACATGAAACCAGAAAACAAGAGATCAAAACAAMCTCCAAGATTCTACAAGCCATCAAAAAAGAGCTATTACCGGAAGTGACATYTATTTATAGCAACCTATAGTTGCTTAGCACACTGCTTACCTCACTAGAAAACTAGTACTACTTATTTGAACGTATTAAAGAAYGAGACACATACCTTACATCGTCCTTTACTGGACTGATCAGAGACATCTGACAGGAATCTCACCAGCTCCATGTCGTCTTCCATACACCAGTTGTCCTTCGGTACAGAATTAATCTTGTCCATACAGAGTCTGTCTACTTCTAACTTTACAATGTCATAACCTGCTTTTTTTGGTTGGCTGGASTTGGGTTCAGCAACATCCTTCTTGYCGTCAATTGTTTCATCAGAGTTTTTATCTGTGTTGGGAGAATTAGGGTTATTATTGCCAAGATTTTTGGAAAAGAGATTAGTAGGGACTAATGGTGCCTTATTTACAGCTGCCTTGTTATTTAATGTCATTGTAGTAGACTCAGGTAAGGTATCAGGAGGTGTGACTCCAGAAGAGGTTGTGTGGGCTCTGGTATCACCATCAGTATCATTCTCCTTATTAGATTTGTCTGTACCATGCATACTTTCTTTCCTATCAATGTCACTGCCATCAGATACATCAGCATTGACTTTACTATCATCAGTGCTTTTACCATCAGTAATGTCTGTACCATGTATACTCTCTTTCCTATCACTGTCACTGCCGTCAGTTACATCAGTATTGTCTTTACTATCATCAGTATTTTTACCATCAGTAATGTCTGTACCATGTGCACTTTCTTTATTATCACTGTTCTTGCCATCATTTACGCCTTGTCCATCAGTATTATCTTTACTATCATCAGTATTTTTACCATCAGTAATGTCTGTACCATGTGCACTTTCTTTACCATCACTGTTCTTGCCATCAGTTACACCTTGTCCATCAGTATTACCTTTACTATCATCAGTATTTTTACCATCAGTAATGTCTGTACCATGTGCACTTTCTTTACCATCACTGTTCTTGCCATCAGTTACGCCTTGTCCATCAGTACTATCACCAGTGTTTTTACCAATGCTTGATTCAATTAACATCAAACTTTCCCCCCTTGAGTCCTTTGCATTCCCATTTGTCAAATKGTCCTCAACTGTAGTTGCAGTATTTAATTTACACTTTTCATCTTCAGTGGCTGCTGAACCCTGAGCCACATATTCCTTATTTACAGAACCATCATCTCCCTYGCCATCCCTGTCTGATGGTAAGCCTCCAGAACTCTGGAAAGGAATGCATTCAAGTCGACCTGATWGTAACGCTCTTTCTGCTGAGCCACACTCTTGTGTCTTGGGGACTTTYTGACACGTTGATTGTAACGGCAGACCAATCTTACTCATTAAATCAGCATACGATTGAGTCTTGGAAGGTTTCACCTGTGATGAAGTCTTCTTTTTCTTCACATACAAATCCATGGATAAAGTTTTCTTCTCTGGCGAAGTGTTACATACACTGTAATAGTTCTCCAGTACTGACTCCCATAAACTATCGAARTAGAGGAAATCCCAAATATCACTCTCAATGGATTCACACTCCTGGTCTTGTTTGGTGCAGGAGCTAAAGAAGGYGATCTTCCCATCCACAGGTGAAGGYCTTGTTAAGGYTTCTTTTCCAGGGTTYAGTTCTTTTTTAGTTGGTTTGATCTTGTTAGTGKTTTTGAGATCCTTGAGATGCTGTTCGTTTGGTACATAGCAGAATGGTTCTGGAAGTGGCTTACAGTCTTTTAGGCACTCTAGATACAAGCAKAATAGATTAATAGGTTGTTAGCATCTAAGCAGAAATAGAAGGAAAAAAGGGTTTTGGTCTGAAATGGGACAACATTACRCTCGAGCGCTCCAGAGCCRAGGAGGTCTATYGCTTTGCACCTTTAAATACCTYATATRAGACAATAAATGGGTACGCAAGTCACAACATGCAAGGAGTAAATAAATAAATGAATGACTCCCATACCACAGGCTTCTTGTAGTGCTCTGAGCTTGGCCAATGTTTTTCTTGAATGTCCATTGCTGACTAGTAGATTACTTGATGGAAACGCCTTGAGTGACTAAAGAAATGCAATAAAATCTATCATGAAATTACTGTTATAAATCTCACATTCTGATTGGTTGGAAGCCTGTGCTGTATGAGAGTACACAGCACGTGTGCACACTTTCAGTTACACTATTCCTATCAAAAAAAAATTTTTAATATAACTTTATTACCGATAGCAGAGTAAGTCAAACTATTAATGACTTACTCTGCTATTGGTAATAAAGTTATTAAAAATTAAAATTAAAATTAAAAAAATAAAAAAAGAAAGAAAGAAAGAAAGAAAAAGAAAAAAAAAATTATTATTTAACAACCTTTTGTTTTTTCTTGCTGTCTGCTGGTGGAAACTTGAGTTTTGGCTTAGAGATTTCACTCTCAGGTAGAGCTGTAAGACTAGCAAAGCTAACTTCTCTTATAACGGTCAGCTTCACGCCTGTGGTAGATACACGCTCTATCTTTAGAAGCTGAAATGAAAAATGAAAAATAAGAGAACTAGCTTAATTCTTTTTTCACAAGAAGAATGAATGGCAATGCCCCAGAAGCACACCAGAAGACCTATGGAATATATAAAATATCCTTCAAATTCCTACAGTCTCTTGGCAATCACATGTGAACAGAGTTTATGCCTTTCACTTGATTTGATAGTTTTCCATTGGGTTCTCCAGTTTTCCTCCCTTTGCAAAACCCCAACAGACTGAATTGCAATTCAATCTGTGAGTTAGCCATGCCCTGACCTGACTTTTATCAGCCCAGAATTTTGTTTCAGGGTTCAATCTGTGAGTTATGTGTTGCCCTGACTATGATCAGCTCAGAGGTTGTTTCAGGGTTCAATCTGTGAGTTAGCTATGCCCTGACCTGTCTTTTAACAGCCCAGAGTTTGTTTCAGGGTTCAATCTGTGAGTTATGTGTGCTCTAGCTATGATCAGCCCAGAAGTTATTTAAGGGTTTGATCTGTGAGCCCGGAGGTTGTTTCAGGGTTTGATCTGTGAGTTAGCCATGCCCTGACTAGATTGTCCTAGATTTTGTTTCATGATTTAAAACAACTATTATGTTTGTTTTTGTTTTTATGTTGATCATGCTGCATGTCTAGTACTGTACATACCTTATTTTTACAAGGTATAATAGCAAATCCTCTAACTTTAGTCATGGATAGTATAAAAGGTAGTTTACTATGAGGACACGCTGCTCCACAATAGATCCTGTCATACTGCATGCTTCTATTGTCCAGACGGAAACAATTCCCAGCCAAGAAAACAGGTTGGCTCATTTCACGGGCTGCCATTGGACTGAATYTCATGAACTCCTCGCATCGTTCCCTGGAAAAATCTACTAAATCCTCAAACTGTTCAATGCCGTGGTTGATGCTRTTCCTCTTGATTATGTAACCAACCAAGCAACTGAAGTAGCCAGTACCACTTCCGACATTGAGAAAGGATAGCCCTGAAATAGCAAAACAATGTAAATATAAACTATCTACAAGAACCAAAATGAATTTTTAACCTGTTAGTCCTATGTTTTGCTCATSAAGCAAGTGGATGTTAGCTGCTAATGCACCATCTTTCACCATACCACTTTAGTCATAGAATCAATGCCTGGACAATACCACATCGTGTATCATGTTGATCGAGTGAATGTTAGTTGCTAATACACAATCTTTCACCATACCACTTTGGTCATAGGAACAATGCCTGGACAATAGCACATCATGTATCATGTTAATCGAGTGAATGTTAGCTTCTAATGCACAATCTTTCRCCATACCACTTTGGTCATAGAATCAATGCCTGGACAATACCACATCACGCATCATGTTTATTGGACTTCTATTGTGCTTCAATTGTCTTTCTACATGTTCTAGAGCATCCCCTCCCCATCCCCTCCCCAAACAAAATCATTAGTAAACATAGTAAAAGTATGAGAGTATGTGGACCGCGTGGCACTAATGAAATAGTAGAAGATAATATAGGTAAGTTGTAGTGTAAAAGTATATTGTTTTGATTGTAGATGGTTGACATTTTTCTCAATGTAGTTCTCCAAGACAACTACACAAGACTTGGTGAAACAAATTCAACCACTTTCATTCACATCATTATAACCATATTTAAAATGTGTCTTTAATCTTGATAACAGTCCTCATTTTGTAGCCAGAGCCCATTGATTTTGAACATCAGGTAAAGCTACCTTAAAAGGCTATTTAAATATATAAAATTGATACAGAAAACATAGCAATAAGTGTTTAATTACCAAAATAGCCAACAAATAGTAAATTTTTGTGAAACAATTCCTATGACTTCCAGCGGAAGTCATGTCCGAATCACGCGAAAATATATGAAATCTAACATCGCCATTTTTATTTGCAATCTAAAAATGTACTATCTTTGTTCACTCGTACAAATCCTTTTCTTTACCTGACAATTATAAAGGCTAAAAGCAATAAGCTTATATTCATTTCTTTTTAATTTATAAATATAATTTAATAGGAACACGAACCTGGGCATAAGTCCAAAGCTTCTAGAACAGTGGCGTACATATGAGGTGCAGACATATGGACATGAGGATCTCCACGTAAAGGAGAATCRTAATACGCTTCGTCTTGCTGTTCAGGAGGCACAAAAGCTCCTCTAGGCACAGCACGGAACGAATCTTCCACCTCCTTTGACACAATCATACCAGAATGTACGAAYTTGTCCACCATTTCGTCATTATTCCGACCAGAGCATCTCCAAGCTCCTGGAATAATTTGTGAAGTAAATCCTAGTCTTGCAGCTAAATCCATACTTCAGTAGCCTTTGAGTTCACTTGGAGTAAAATAACTGTTACGTTCAGATTAACTGATTAAACTGATATCCAAGGTCAGTGTTKAATATTTTTTATAGCCACGTAAAAAAAATTCGGACACCATTCCAAATCTCAAGACGGATGTTTTCTACATTTCGTGGGGTTTTGGGTCCATGAATCAGTCCATTGGGTAAGTGAACGTGGACTGTAGAGTTGAAAGAAAGTATTTTGTGGCTGTTTTGGTGTATTTTAGATGGATATAATCACAACATAACCTTGTTCTACATTCTCCACATAACAACGACCTCCATCTTGGATTGCAAAACCAATAAGGACCCAGGCTCTCACCGGTGTACACACTTGAACGAGGCTGGACTTCAAGAAATGTGACGCGTGGTTCAGTATTTAGTCCAGACACAGGTAGCCCAAGCTTGGTTTCTGTGGTGTCCTGCTATAAGGAAATGTATGGAGATTCATCAAAAATTTCAATAAAATCATTGAAACGTGAAATAAAGCCTCGACATTTTACCCGATCATTGAGAAATAGCACTTCTTTTGYTCTGCGTGGTTATTTTTTGAATTTAGCCCGTTTTAAGATTTTTTCCCCCACCACCAGTGGTCCTTATAGCAGGACACCACAGAAACCAAGCTTGGGCTACCTGTGGTCCAGAAGGAGGTTATTCATTCTCATTCACATGGACCRAAAGGACCTTTGATTGTCAAACAATAGAACAAATCCATTGTGTTACTCGTTCTATTGTTTTATAATCCCATAGGTACTTTTGGTCCACGTGAACGAGTGCTAACCGTCCGGATGCAGTTTTAGACCTCTTCATTCCCTAGAGTATCATTTCTTTTCTTAACGGTTGCGCACCAGAAGGTACATGGATGTGGATACGACTCAAACAAAAAATCTATTATTTAATAAATGACCCTTGTACTGAAGTAAGAAAAATTGCACGCAAGACAAAAACATCTATTACCGGATTCGTGTCAAGATTTATTTTCAAGTAAGAATTAAMCGATGACGTTATTTGGGGATAGTATTGTTAGATTGTTAGTTTTTTTTWAGCAGAGGGGAGATTTAAGAGGAGAGAGCGTATCGCAAGCGAGGTATCGAGTTTCGCTAGTTAAGGAGATTTTTCTTGCAACAAAACTAATAGGACTGGTTGAAAACGACTCCAAAATCATATCAACCTTGGCCATCCCATTGGCTTAGAATTAACATAATTGAAAAAAAAAACGTCACAGATTCGAACACTATGATATTTCTTGCGCGAATTTTACGAGTATACTTCCCAACATTGCTTTCATATGGCATAACATATAACACGACTACTCGCTCTGTAAAGGGGTCATCATTAGCCAACGGGTTCGAAGAGATGCGTAAGMTATTTAATTACCTAAATGTAAAGGTGCTGTTCTTCTGTTTAATTCAATTAGGTTTACAACCTATTCACCATTTTCCATACATTGGTTCACTTGGTCACCACTGGTCCCCTCCATCCCCAACATACACGCCACACACMCYTGAAGCCTGAATTGGAGCTGGGAAAACAAGACCCTCCACATATATCAAAGGAAAACGGCATGGCGGAAAACAGCCTTGAAAGATATAAGCTGAAAYATWAACTTAATCTAATGAAATTTATTCAAATAATAACTGCATTTATAAACGTTTTTTCACWTTCCAAAGTAATAATACTCAATAATATTTACAATCGTATCCTTTCGTTTCCACTTTGAAGTGGAAAATAATTTTATCAATGTATCCTTTTATCTATATTCTATAGTCTATGTACAACATAATTTGTAATTGCATAAAGRAAAGTAATATGAATGCCCATATCACATAGCGCGGTTCTTATTAAACAAGTCCTTTGAATGTAAATGTTAAAACGATACCGAAAAAAGATAAAAAGGAAACAAAAAAGAATCGAAAAAATATGTGTTCAAGATGGTAACGGCGCAGAATGTCTGGTTCCAATCTGAACTAAGACTTTTTCTGAGTTCTTTCAGTATCGTTTTAACTCCATTGATATTTATATATATATATATGATACAATTCTTATTAACCAAGTCTTGCACTCGATCTCGTGTTGGTTTTATTTCGATTGACTTTCCACGTTTCGGCTGGAAACATAACAAGAGAAGATATTTTAATGAAAAAGCAAAGTATTTTTTTCTTTTCTTTGTTTTCTGTGCTATTACATTTCGATTCAGAAGTGCGCCGTCTAGTATGGAGCGAGTGGCACTTGCAGAGGTACCTCTATTGAGCAAAAAGCCCTTCGGAACCGTGCCTGGTGTCCGCTTAATAAATTGAGGTTTGTTTTGTAGTAAATACAATGATACCTCTATAATGCGGGCACCTTCGGGATCTGACCTCGTGTCCGGTTATTAAAGGGTGTCCGCTGAATAGAGGTTTGCTTCACAGTAAATACATTGATACCTCCATTATGCGGGCACTTTAGGAACCTTGCCTAATGTCCGCTTAATAAAGAGTGTCCGCTGAATAGAGGTTTTTAAATAAATATGAGTGGAAAATCGGAGTTTCGAGAATGTGAAACTAGCTGTCCTTTAAATCAAGGGTGTAAGCTTAATAAGGGTCTTTTTAATAGAGGTATCATAGTATTTGATTAGCGTGCAGAATTGATGGAGATGGTAGAGGGTCCTTCATGTCTTACCTTGCAGCCAACTTATTTTCCAAGTCAGCAGCGATAAGGTCACGATCCATCTGAAAAAAGGAGAAATTTGACCGACTGTTAATCAAAATATTTGATTCATGCCAAACGGGAGGAATCTGACATGGTTGGGATGCGTTGGACGGTAGAAGGCTAGTTTTGTGGAGCAGGGGGTGCTTATTAAAAAAGAGCGGGAAACTTAACTTCCGACAATTGGCACACGCGTCTACTGGAAGGACCAAAAAGAGCGCGAAAATCGGGCTCAACCGGAGACCGAAATAATAGAGTGTCGTTGATTTACTCACGTGATTAATGAACCCAAATTGAACTAATTCATTGGCAAGGCCACTTGCGTCTTCACCTGTCCATGCAAAACAAAGACATAAATATTGATGCGCTTCCATCGACACTTGTAATAAGGGAATCCACAAAATCTTAACTCTTTGGCATTAGCAATCCAACATGTAACATCCGAAATCATAGAGGTAGAATCCAGCCAAAGTATATACATAAGGTAGTCGCACGGCATTAATGAATACTAATTTTATTCCAAATTCCCTTTCAAGGAGCAATGTAAGGATTCTTTCCATTAAGTCGAACAGACCATTTTCTCAAGGTTGCGTGCGCCCTTTTTATTGAACATGGTGGTACACCTTCATTCTGAGAAAGTTATAAGAAAAGTTGGAATTTACCTATAGTCAGCACATATCAGAGGAGTACGACAGAAGCAGATTAGAAATGTTAATTATTATTATCCCCCGCAGGGTACTCCATTTATTCTCCAGAAAGAAATAGGGATTCCTGTGTTTTCCACAGGGAGCCCGAGGAACACAAAGGAGATGCCTCCAAAGGCTAGTTAATCATGGTTAGTCACATTGGCCGAAAGAACCTTTTGGTTTATAAAATAATAGAGCAAGGAAGTAACACAATAGATCCATTCTATTGTTCAAGACTCGAAGGTTTTTTTGGCCAATATGAACGAGTTCTAACCGTTGATCATCTTCCATGAGTGGAAGAAAGCACAGGTTACCCAGACGCAGAAAAAAAAAGTTTTTTTAAAAGTACCTGCTTGAAAAAGAACTCAATTATATATTTTTTCGCTTACCCTGTTTAACGTCGCATGTTAGTACTCTTTTCATTCGATCACCAAATTTAAGGCTCAGCACGAGCTGTTATAATGAAGAGCAAAAATCTCAGTGGTTAAATAATGACAGAAATATGCTATTATTGACCATCCATTATACAATAATGAAAGTCTGGTCTATGCTATTGGACTTAACAGACCTTTCTCATGCAGCAGCCATGTTGGCCTAAACTATAGATTTTTCTCTGCATAATCTTGCATTTAAGATGAGGTTATGTGAGGTTAAACTAATGTTTTTATCCTCTTGGGGATAAACATAGCTCGGGGGGTGGGGATGGGGCTGTGGTACTCCCATATAACAAAGGGCGGAAATGATTATCATATCTTTTAGGGGTTGAAAATTATAAGTCATTCTCTCTTTTGTTTTAAATAATTTATCTCATGTTTCGAAGTGGTATCTTTTAGAGCAAAAATAAAACCAGGACCATGCTTAAACACTCTCTTTTAGGGGTAAAATGTTTTCCCCACAATCATTCCCACCCCTTCTACATTGGAGTACCCCCCCCCCCCCACCCCCGGGCATGGCACATGGCAACATAAATATGCATACCTTACTTTACCTACCTGTTTTCCATCACCACTTTCTAATGCCTTCATCTCACAATTCATATTGGTATACTAAAAAAATATAACAAATGAGCATGTTTCAATTTGGATAATCCAATAGTCGATGCAAATACATCTATTTCAAAAATATTGTCAGTTGGAGATCTGAAATCTGAAATCGGAGCAGCATGCAGGAAATTGTAAAATATTCACAGGCGGACAATGGAGTTTTCTTTTAGTTTGAAATATGATAAAGAGAAATGTGATTTTTTGTATTTTAGCCAGACAACATAAAAGCACAACAATTCTGTTTGTTTTTCAATCACCCATTTCAGATCTCTGATCGACAACCCTTTTTGAAAAATCGTAATAGCGGCCTCCCCCTATATGTGTGACTTATTTGTGTCACGAACAGTTTTTCAGTATCTTTATGAGTTGTCCGGGGAGGGGGATTTGGTTATGAGTGTGTTATATGGCTTCTAATATGTAACAGCAAATCTATTAGTGTATTAATGAATGATATCATCCCTGCTTCCCCTGTTACAGTGTAGGTAAGTTTAAAAGTGTCAAAAACAGTATGATTTTGTACCCTTCTACTCTCTTCATCATAGGTTTCTGTCTCATTTTTTTTCTGCTCAGCTTGAACACTGTCTGGAGACTTGGGTCTGAAGCAACGAGAAATAAAGTCAAGCCCCTCTATAAAATGCTGAATACAACCAGGAAAGATAATCAAATCAAATAAACCAAAGATGACAGGATAGAATGAGATAGAAAGAAACTGAGTAAATAAGAAGAGTATTAACAATTTAAAAGATTAGGATAGGATAGGACAGAAACAGGCTAGAATGCAAGGGTGGATCCAGGGGGGGGGGGGCAAAGGGGGGCTGAAGGCCCCCTTCAGCAGAACAACAAAAACAAAACAAAACTGAAGAATTAGATGCTTTTTTTATTTGACAGAAGAAACTCAATTAGCCCCAGCTAAACTCAATTAGCCCTCCCCTAAAATTTTGGCTGGATCCACCCTTGGAATGGTAGTTAGAATGGAATAGAACAAGTTAGAATGAAATGTAAAAAAAATTTTTAGAATGGAATAGAACAAAATAGAATAGAACATGATAGGATGAACAGAACCAGAAATATTATATCTTTTTTATACTTGGTAAGCTATGGTTTGAATTATCTGTGATGCATGACAGTCTAAAATAACTACTATAAGCATATATTATTATATCATTAGTGTTAATACTGCAAGTCTTACCTTTGCCTTGGGGTTAGATTCTTCTTTTTTTTCTCCACACCAGTTAATGGATATAAACCATTCCTACAGAAAGAAGTTTCATCAACAAACCATCATCATCACTATTATCATCTTTATTATCATCTGCAACAGGTGCACCACAATCATCATCATCATCAGCACTACTATCACCATTCTCACCAACATCATCACTACTACCACCACCACCACCATCATCACCACCACAATCATTACCACCACCACCACCATCATCACCACCACCATCACCACAACCATCATCATCATCGTCAGCACTACCATCACCATTATCACCAACATCATCACTACTACCATCACCATCATCATCATCACCATCACCACAACTATCATCATCACCATCACCACAACTATAATCATCACCACCACCATTACCAACACATAATACCACCAATACCACTTTCCTACTAAATAAAAGGTCCATTCATTCATTACCAACACCATGTATCACCACAACCATCATAATAATCATTATTACTACCACAATACCAACCCAAACATCATCATAGTTATCAACACAACAACCAATACATTCCTTGAGTTATAGAAATACTGTCCTTGGCTTATCAAAATACTGCCCTTCAGTTACCAGATTTAGTTCCCAAGATGAATCTTACCTGACTTCCTCTAAAAACTTTTCTATCTCAAGAGCAGGGCTATTTTCTTGTCTGCATCATGAAAAAAGGACATCACATTTTAATCTTCAGAACGTGTCAAGCAATGCTCAACACTAATGCTAGTCCACTAGTCTGGAACTAGTAAATCTTAGCTCAGGGCTAGTGAAAGTCAGAACTCACTAGTCCAGTGGGGTTTTTGGATTACTAATCTGGGCTAGTAAAGTACTCTACTGGGATACTGGATTTGTAGACTGAATAGCCCATTGCCTGGTATCTGGAAATCTAACGTTCAGCACTGTGCAAGGTACAATATTGATGGAATTGTCCAGAACTAAGACTAGGTTTTTAGTAAGAGAATAAGAAAAGCACTCACTTGAATTCCTTGATAGTGCCATCTCTTGCTTTGTAAGTTGCTACAACCTTTTCATGGTCTGCATTTTCTCTATTATCTGGTGTTGCAACTGTAATTTCAACAAGACATGTCACAGCTTAAACACTTTTCCTCTTGAAGTCTCAGTGTTATGTTTTTTGTTTTTGTTGTTGTTTTTTGTTGTCGTTGAGAATTTCCATGGTAAATGCATTTAAAATGATTAAATATTCATTAGATAAAATGCCAACCTTGGAGCAAAGTTACAAATGAAATAACAAATGAATTGTCAACAAAAATTAGGTTACAGATTATCATATTAAAAAAGGAACTGTAGCCACTTCAAGGAGTTTTCCAGGAGTATCCAGCAACTTTGTTATTTTCAACGGCTTTTCAAGTGGACTTAGAAAAAGGATTTCAAGGAGTAGCACGAACCCTGGTTTTTTTTTAATGAACCAAACCACAATCAATAAAATAGAAAACATTTCATACCATCATTATCAACCATGCAATATCCTGCCAGAAGCTTTAGAGAATGAACCTAAGAATGAAAATAAGGCAGATGTAAAAGACCTGTCCACTGGTGATGACAACCGTCAGTGCCTGTGCTTATAGTTAGTAAAGAGTCCACAATAATAGTCTCTTTCACAGTTCCCTGCGCCATCTTGAAAGGTAGCCCTGCCTTTGCATCGAAGCAAGAAGAAACGGTGAGCTTGCAATGATAAAGACCTTTTTTTAACACCTTGGACAATAATTCATATGTCTCTATCATTGCAAGCTCACCGTTCATCTCGCTTCGATGCAAAGGCACAGCTACCTTTCAAGATGGCACAGGGAAATGTGAGGGAGACTATTGGTGAAAGCTGTTGTGGTGTCCCTGCCCTCATGGGAAAAGCTAATAAAATATAAAATAATCTACTAATAGAAAATGTAAATGCCCCGTAATTTCATGGTGATTTTACCCTAACAGGTAATAGCCAAGTCACTGCTAATTCAAACATGCTCAAAATGTAGTGCAACTCTGCGATTTTCACATGAAAGTACCATGTTCCAATCTGCAGTGACTTGGCTGCAATCTGTTGCCGTAAAATTGCCACTCGATGCTTGAGTCACCTGACAAAATTACTAGTGTAAAGGAGTCTTTAGACAGTGTTAACAGAGTGTACCACAAAAAAAATCTGACCTTGTGCAAAAAGGTGTGTCCCTGATTTGCATAAATAATCTCTTTTACATTAGAGACCATGACTGAATGCAAACGTTTATAGTAAGACTGAAGTTTACTGAATATTTCTAGTCTAAGGTTTATTAACCTCAAATAAACATGGATCTAGAAGGAGGTGAAGGACATTTGGTCTTTCGGCAGGGTCTTCTGCTAAGCACCTGTTTATGAAATCCTAAGCAACACAATGAGGAAAGAATATAATGTTATCAAATAAATAAAGAGATGCATTGATAATTATTGGGTGGGTGGAAGGATGAACAAACAAAGGAATGAATAATGAATGGATGATGAATGAATAAATAAATGATGAATAAATGATTGAATAGATAGATAGATGGGGATGGTGAATGAATTATGAATGGGTGGATGAATGAATGAATGGATGGATGGATTGATGGATAGATGGATGAATGGATGGAGGGAGGGAGGGATGAAGGGAGGGATGGATGGATTGATGGATAGATTGATGGATGGATAGAGGAATAGATGAATGAATGATGAATGAATGAATAAATAAATGATGAATAAATAAATGAATGAATAGATAGATTGGGATGGGGGGATGGATTGACACATGAAAGAATTATGAATGGATGGATGAATGGATGGATGGATGGATGGAGGGATGGATGGATGA